GCTTTCTTGGAGAAACACATGAGATATTTATATGATTTTCTCTTCCTGGGGGTTTGACTAACATCTGTGTTCACCTTTCTAGCGTCTGGAGGAAATCATGAAAAGGACTCGTAAGAGTGACGCAGGGGGACAGGTGGGACACATCTGTGTTTTTATTGAGTCTGAATTTGTTTCACACACACACAATGAAAGGAAAATGAACTTGCTTTATTTGTTTCTTTGCAGAAAGACGTTAAGGCTCCAGCTCAAGTGAACGGCAGAGTCTCTGACAGCGGTAAGAACTGATTTGTAGGGTTGTGTATGCGATGTTACTCTTAAAAATAACTCTTTACTCTGTTCAAAATGTTGTAAATGAGTTAACATGAAAAAATATAATGCTGTTATTCTCTTGTCTTGCAGTAATCCAGAAAAATCCGTCAGAAACTCTGCATAGTGGTGCGACAAATTTTAACCAATCACAAGGAGACATGAAAATGAGGTAAAGTTGCGCAGTTAGGCATGATTTGAAATGTACTGAGAGATGTTTTGTATATTTTGTTGTTGATGAGAATTATACATGTTTCTTGCTCAGCTCTGTGTCCTGGGACGCGGCACCCGTCGTTAACGGCGTCCAGCCCACTAAGCATCAGAATGGACTGTCCTCCAATGGAGAGGCAGCAGACTTTGAGGAGATCATCAAGCTGTCCAATCACAGTGGCAGTGGAAACAGTGGGCAGGGCCAACCTGCTGACCCAATCATGGCCTTTGAAGGAGGGGAACCGTTCATGATGAAGGCGGGGCCTATGAAACCTCAACATGTGGCAGGTAAGATACTGGATATTATTAGATTAGATATTGTATTTTGTTAAAGGGGTCATATGATGCGATTTCAAGTTTCCTTTCTCTTTGGAGTGTTACAAGCTGATTGTGCATAGATAAGATCCCTGAAGTTGCAAAGACTAAAGTCTCAAAACCAAAGAGATATTCTTTATCAAAGTTAAGTTTGAAAGATGAAGCTCGCGATAATGGTAAGGAGCGTTACATTTCCGACGAGTTCTTGCGGTGTTCGGCCAATCACAATGCACTGGGTCAGCTGGCAAATCAGAGCAGACTGCGCTTGTCAGAAGGAGGAACTTTGTAGAAAACGAAGCGTTTGAGAGAGGCGGGGCATAGAGGACCTACAATAATGTACAGTATTTGAAAAAGAATGTGTTTTTTTAACATTAAAGCATGTCAACATACTCTGTTACACCAAATACACAAAATAATGATCTTTAAAAAAGCATCATATGACCCCTTTAATATCAAGACTAATGACCATATTACTGTAAAAAAAACAATCTGTCATATTCTTGAAATGGAAATTTGCACAAAATACTCTGGATGTTCCGTGATGTAATTTTTCAAAATGTAAGGTCATAAAAAAAGTACAGCTGTATATAAATGTATGGATTTTATTTCTAATATATATATATATATATATATATATTTTTTTTTATTTTATTTTTTTTTATTTTACAATATTAGACTATTTATTTGACTAATTATTCCGTTAGATTATTATTCATTAGATTTTATTCAAATGTGCATTAAAAGGTCTTACATTTAATGTAAGTCATACTAAGGTCATCAAAATATAAGGTCATACTAAGTATCTGTATATAAATGAATGGATTTATTTACCTTTATGTAATTTTTCTCTGATTATATTTTAGTAAGTAATGTATAGTGAATAAATATATAAAAAATATAAGGTCATAGCAAGTGTCTGTATATAAATGTATGCTTTTTTTACCTGTGTGTATATACTGTATATATATATATATATATATATATATATATATATATATATACATATACACTGTATGTATGTTTTTATATGATTATATTTTAGTAAATAAAATATAGTGAATAGATATATAACAAATATAAGGTCAAAAAAGTGTCTGTATTTAAATGTATGGATTTTTTTACCGTTATAACACTTTATTTTATATGATTATATTTTTGTAAATATTATATAGTGAATAACTACATAAAATATAGTGAATAAGTGGCATACATTTTATGAATTGCTTTACTTTTAAAAAAACATTTTGTTTTTTAAATAATAATACAAATCTTTTAAAATGTCTTACATTTTATTCCCTTAAGCATGCAGATATCTTGGTACTGGTATTATGAAAAATATAGCATTTTTATGAAAGCATTATCCATATAAAATTGAAATTTACTGCTGTTGCAGTTTTATCTGTAATGTACTGGTGAGCAATCATAAGGATTAGTTCACCTAAAAATGACAATTGTCATCATCCTCAGTTGATCCAAAGCAACCTGGCTTTCTTCAGCTGAACATAAAAATGCATTTCTTTATCTCTTTGAAGCCATATGCTAGTTTTTTGCAGTAACATTTGGTTATTTTGTCATTTCTGGGAGCTTGACAGTGTCAGTTACTTCTATTTCAGTAACTGATTTTAAAGGCTGAATCAAATTTCTTTCGGTCTTGTTCTCCCTGCAGAGGTCCTGTGAGAGAGCAGAGCCTTCTGTCAGAGAAGAGAAGCCTTACGCTACCACTGCTTCCACCTCGACGTGTGCCAAACCGACAAACAGACTGCTTTAACTATAGAAACACAGCAAGACAGAAACTGCCGATTTCTGTGGAAGCACTTTGAGGAAGCGAAAGAAGTGGAGGAAAACCTTAAAAAGACACTTATATACCTATAAGACGTTTGCAAAAAGTCTCTGTCTATTTCACTGTGTGTCATGGCGCAAAATTGTTGAATTTGTTTAAAAAGTCACCTGCCGATTATGTGGTGCACCTTAAAAGAGTCACTATATGATGAATTTTTGAACTTGGAAATACACAATGTTTGGCTATCATTAGGATATTAATTATTATTGTTATTGTTGTTGTTATGATGTATTGTTACTGTTCTTTTAAGTAGAAAAACGTGTGTCTTGAATTATTGCGTTATTTAACATGTGGAGCATCAGAAGGGGGTGATATTCTGTATGTTAATGTATATTTGCCTGATTATGACAGACCTGTGGAATAAATCTTTATGAAAGGGGCTGTGTGTCAGTTCACGTTTTGTCCTCTTCTGAGAACCCCAGAAATGTAGAAAGGGCTTGACACACCAACTTTTAAGTGAAAAACATTGTACTATAGTGATAGTACTTACAGTATATCATCTCTGTGCAGTGAATAATTTCAGCCAGCAGAGAGCAGCGCTGAATCTAAACTCAGCCTTCCAGCCATGTTTGCTGAAAAATATCTTATCTCCTGTGCAATAACTAGCACACATTTGCATTCATCTCATCCTTTTCCTATGCATATTGTATTTATGAAGTTCACAAACTAGTTCCATATCCTCTCGTTCTCTTTGAAAGTCGGTGCATGCATGGACACCCAGTTCTAGTCATTCAAAGAGATGTTAAAGGAATGGTTAACCGAAAATGCAAAAAGCTGTGCTTTAGTAAGAAACAAATCCATCATTAAGACGCTTTGCAGCTTGCAACCGTTACTTCCAGCTAAAATAAGAGTCCTCGATCCATAGTATTGCTTTCTTTAGTGAAAAAGCCATCTCGTCTGAATCAGGAGAGAAATATGCACAGATAAAATTTATAAGTAAACAGTTCTAAACAAATATGTTGATGGATTTTGATGTGAGAGGAAAAACCTGGAATGGACCTTCTGTTCTGGAATAAGCATTGTTATGGATTATGGACTCATATTTTTGAAGTTAAAATGCCTTATTGATGGATTTGTTTATTACAAACATGCAGCTTTTTTGCTTCCCAACATGTTATTTGATGGACTGGAGTCTTGTGGATTATTGTGATGTTTTTATTAGCTGTTTGGACTCTCATTCTGACGGCACCCATTCACTACACACACAGGATCCATTGGTGAGCAAGTGATATAATGTTAAATTTCTCCAAATCTGTCCTGATGAAGAATTCATCCAGGATGACACGAGGTGTGTAACTTTTCTGCAATTTTTTTTATTTTTAGGTGCAAATATGAAGAAAACATATCATATTATCTACAGAAAACAAAAGAAACTGCTCCAGTTGTTTTAACTCTGGCGGCGTCCACCTGAAGTTTCAGCATCACAACACCCACTGACGTGTTCTTGGCCCTGATCGTCTGAGGCTCATCTCAGGCACTGTATTTTTAGATGGATGATAACAGATACAAAGTTATATTTTATATTCTTTTATTTTATAACTTTAAGAAAGAATTCACAGACCTTTTTCACATTTGCACTTAATGTTTACACAGTGTGTTCATTAAAGACAACATTTATTTAGTTGAATGTTTGACGTAGTTGAAGGCCGATCAGATTTAATGGCCAAATTTGTTCCCTGCAACTGTATGCAGTTTTTTCCATCAGTACAAGTGTTATTTTAATATTTAGTTTTCATTTGAACTTTAGTTTAAGTTTTAGAAATGTTGTTATATGTTTTTGTGATTTTATATTTTTGGTTTTAATATTTTGGTTTAGCAATAATTTGCTTTTATTTCAGTCTTTAGCACATTTAGTACTTAAACTTTTTTTATTTCATTTCATTTCATCTTTTTTTCAATTACTGGATACAGTTTATTTAACAATACTGTTCTACATAGACAATATATTCATGCTAATTCCTATGATTGTGAGGTACATGGTTGAATAAGAGCATGGTGACAGTGATACATTTTAGTCATATTGTTATGGACAAACCAATTATAAACACTTTACATGGTTGCTGTATTAGGATTATGTCAAAGTCAATGTCAAAGCTTATTTATATAGCACCATTTATACAGCAACAGCTGACAAATGTGCTTTTCAAAAGCATTGCTAAAGACAGAAGACATACATAAAATGTTAATATTTTACAATATTTGCAACGTTTTACAACATGTAGTGAACATTAAAAGCCAGTAAAAAGAAATGAGTTTTCAGTAATGACTGGTAGGGATAGAGCAGATCTAATCTGAAGTGGCAGAAGTTGTCTGAAGTTGTCTTCATACAGCCAGCTAAATGCATCTGCACATAAGCTGAAAGTGTCATTCATTTAGCCAAGACATGACTTAGCATGTAGCTCTATCACTCAAATACAGGAAGTTCTTTGTTCATTGCTGATAGGCTGAATTTACTTTTGCTTTCTCTTGTATTCTCTCTACTACTGAACGCCAGAGGTAAGGCTACCCTCTTTTTTCTGTATTTATCATATTACGCCTGTGAAAGTTTCAGAATTGGTTTGAGAGTAATTTAATGTGATCAGTTTTGAGGTGAAACTACTTTTGCAGACTTGTGGCATCACTATAGCTGCAAAGGCCTAGAAATGGACAAAGTTAACACCCTGCTGTACTCAAACCTTCAGTGTCAAACATGCCACTTTCATCGGTATTGAGAAATGCATGCAAAACAAAAACCAGAAAAGAGAATATGGCTTTAAGATATGTACAGCTACTGAGCAAAGCGTGGGGAGAAAGAAACAGCACACCCTTGATTTTAGGATAGAAAAACTGTTCTTAACTTAACAGAAAACCACAAGACGAAGAAAGCAGAACATTGTTATTCTATTGAAATGAACCCATGGACTCACTCTAAATTTGGTTGTGGTGCACATATAGATATTTACTTGTGGTTTTCAAATGGAAAAGCTACTTTCCTTTCGTTCTTTTGTTCATTGTTTTGCATGTGTTCATGTATGAGCATCCAGGCAGATGAGATGCAAAATAGGTTTTCATCTGTTTTAATCTACACCAAAAATAAAGACTTTATTGGACATGAATTAAGCTAACGTTAAACTGTCTCAGTGTAGTTACCCCCTAGATCAGTTTGGGAATGTAAACCGTTTGCTAATGTGACAGACAGGATTGCAAGATCTTTCATTCCGCTCGAAGTGTGCCATTTCGAATATGATGCATGCTGATAATATTACGGAACGTTTAAATATTTGTATGATTTAGTTAGTTTTGATGTGTTTGCAATATATGGGTGATTCTATAATTGGAGATACATTTGGCATTTCATAAAGTTAAGGGGGAAAAAAATGTTCACTGACAGAAATTATTTCCAGTTTCTTATTGAAAACATATTAAATTTTAATAATTCAGTGCTTGCCAAACACAAGTTACTTCCTTTTTGTACTTTTGATTAAAAAAAAAAGATGTCTTTATGGTATTGTTTGTCAACTCTCTTACGGATAAATTAGGCAATGTGTAGAAATAACAATAAATCATAAAATAAAAAATCCTTCTTGTATCAATAGAAAAACAGTCCAACAGATAATATTTCACCTATGCATACCTTAAAAATGAAAAGAAATACCTATGTCTTCACAGAATTGTCCACTTGGAGCAAATATTTTTCATATGAAAATGTATTGTATACAATATTCAGTACAAAAAAGAGAAACGTTGTTGAAATATTATAAGGGTGCATCATATCTCAATAATGCTTATGAGATTTTAAACAACAATTCTATAGTTTTTTTGTGAAAATATTTTATAAACAGAGTTGACCCTTTAAGTAACAGAATTGACAGAATTATCCGGTGGACTGTCAATTCTGTTACACTATTGTCAGCATTGTTACTCTACCTTGGTAACAGAGTTTGACGGTAACAGAATTGACAATTTTATTTTACTTTTTGCCAAAAACTCCACTTGCTAGCATAAATGCTAAGAGCACATGGCATTAATGAAATCATGATTAAAATACATTTAAATAACCCAATTTGTGATTAGTAATACATTTTGTTTTCCTTTTGATATTGTGGTAACAGTGTTGAAGTTCTTCAAAATAACTGTTGGTATAAGAAATTTTTAGATTCAAATATTTTCTCAGAGAGAGCACACAGACTTTTCAGTTCTTCAGATCTTATCAGTGAGGGAAGGTATCATAATTTCCTGTACCTTACATAGTTGTGGGAGATAATTCCACCAATTTAAAGGCAAAATATGGTACGGTAACAGAGTTGACGCAAGATTTATGGACACACATTTTTAGAAGAAAAAAGTTATTTTTAAACAATTTAATGTTGTAGAATTAAGTAAATTAGTATTTAGGCCTTTTATAAATAAAATGAATGAAATATTACAAAAAGAAAAGTACAATAAAATATTTTGATTACACAATGATACATGATGGAAAAAATGCACTGACTAATTCGGACAACAAGAAATCATGATTTTTTTTAGCTATTTAAGACACTTTTTACACAAATTATTATATTGTTATTGACTGTAACATCTTGTAATTCATAACAATAAGTAGCAAATTATTAAAATAATAAAAAATATAACCATTTGAACAAAAATCAGAAAAAAATAATGACTTCGGACACCAAATGTACCTGCAATTATAGAATCACCCATATATATATATATATATATACACTGAACAAAAATATAAACGCAAAACTTTTGTTTTTGCCCCCATTTTTCATGATCTGAACTCAAAGATCTAAGACTTTTTCTATGTACACAAAAGGCAAATAACAATAAATCATAAAATAAAAAATCCTTCTTGTATCAATAGAAAAACAGTCCAACAGATAATATTTCACCTATGCATACCTTAAAAATGAAAAGAAATACCTATGTCTTCACAGAATTGTCCACTTGGAGCAAATATTTTTCATATGAAAATGTATTGTATACAATATTCAGTACAAAAAAGAGAAACGTTGTTGAAATATTATAAGGGTGCATCATATCTCAATAATGCTTATGAGATTTTAAACAACAATTCTATAGTTTTTTTGTGAAAATATTTTATAAACAGAGTTGACCCTTTAAGTAACAGAATTGACAGAATTATCCGGTGGACTGTCAATTCTGTTACACTATTGTCAGCATTGTTACTCTACCTTGGTAACAGAGTTTGACGGTAACAGAATTGACAATTTTATTTTACTTTTTGCCAAAAACTCCACTTGCTAGCATAAATGCTAAGAGCACATGGCATTAATGAAATCATGATTAAAATACATTTAAATAACCCAATTTGTGATTAGTAATACATTTTGTTTTCCTTTTGATATTGTGGTAACAGTGTTGAAGTTCTTCAAA